TCTCTAGCCACCTCTAGGCAATTCTTGAGAAGGAGTCCAAGGCCTTTTTCAGCATCATGATCAATTGGCAATGCCTGATCTGGGCATATGGAGGTGTAATAAATACAACCCATTTATTTACAGTCTTCTAGAATACAGTAAATTCCACTTGAGCCAAGGAGATACTGCATTGCTAGAAAGGGGTATGATGGTTGCATGCAGTATCAAGTCATTTGTCAGCTCTAGATGAGAAACACATGTCTTCATGCCCACAGAGCATGAAAGTTCCTGTCCATGGAAAGGACACTGGACCCCATTCACCTTGTCTGTTTGAGCCTTGTCAGTAAGAGAAGCAGCACAATTCTTGCCTTTCTGACCTGTTCCGACCTCTGGGAGGATCTCAGGGTCCTTTCCCATCATTCTGTCCCAAAGGCAAGGATAAAGTCCTTGAGATTCTAATGGGGGTCAAGTACTAGGAGTCAAATTTTTTAGAGATAGAATATGAAATTCCCCAAAGGTCAGAAAGAAAACTTTACATGAAAGCAAAATGTTGCTGAGGCCATTTACTGACTACCCAGAGTCAGTTCTCCTATCACCAGTAGGTTTCTGGAGAGACATCAGGGAGGCTTAAGTCTAAGTGGCTAAGTGCCCTTTCATTTCATCCCTCTGCCTGGGCCTGTCCTTGCCATCTGAGTGGTAAACACTTGAAAGTCTTTCTATAAATATGTGTAGCTATTATGAGTCAATTTGAGGCAAAACAAAAGAATAGGCTTTAAAACATTCTAAAATGTCTTGAGTGTCAAGGTTGGGGCTAGGCCCCGAGAGCCAGGGAGACGCTTGCCTTCTGCTTGTCTAGCGCTGCTCCAGGGATAGAGCTGACTGCATCGGGCAAGGGAATGAGGAAAAGAAAGACAGGCAGACACAGAGACAGAGAAATAGGATCATGGTGGAGGAAGTCTCAGCTTCTGCTAGGTCAACTGCAGCACCACAGAAGTTCAGCATGTTTATTATGCAGAGTCGAGCAAGGAGGCAGGGCTTATGGTATGCAATTGGAACAACGAGACAGATTTGACTAATGTAGGTAGGAACAGTCTCTGTAGAAAAGCAGGATCCGGTTATAAATATTGGGCAGGGTGGGGCAGCTGGGGAAGCTCTGGTGGGCATTATCTGCACCCGCTAGCAACATCCACACATGGATTAGAGGAGGGCTTTGCCATTTCCCCGTGAGCCTCACCCTGGTTTCTGGGAAGTGTTGACATTTTCCCATTTTCCCATGTCGTTCTCACACACACAGGGAGTCACTCATTCAGGGCTTCCTCTCCTCTCCACACTGGGGTGAGGATCAAATGCAGTCTTGGGCAAGCCACCAGGCAGGATACCATGACAGGGTATGCAGGCTCACTTGTACAGAGTTTCTGTGGCTATAGGAACCTCTTATAAGTCTGTGGCTCTAGGGGGATTCTGGGAGTAGGTATCCAAACCTCAGTTGTTCTGGTCAGTGACACCACCTCGCTATATTACTTTAGGAGTGAATTTCACAAGGACACTTTACCTGGAAAGGCTTGAAGCACTGTAATCAAGGGAACACATCAAAGGATCCTTCAGGGAATGTCTAGCCACAGAAGTCTGTGTTCGAGGACGTGCCATGGAAATCTGCTAACCACTGTCATCCATTGTGAAACAGTAGGAGCAGACCATAGGAGGGACCAGCTAGGAGGAATTGGTTCTAAGCACTGTGTGACAAACACTTGCTATGTGCTGGGTTTATTCACATAAATCACCAACTCCACTTCCAAATCCTACATCATCAGCAAGGAAGACAGTATTGCCCTCCTCTGTAAATTTAGAGATTCAGTCCTAGAAGCAGAGAGGAGCTTCCAGGGAATAATAGGTAAGTCACGGCCAATAACGAAAGAGTCCATCTATAGGCCCCAAACGTGAAAAAACTCATGCAATCGAATCTTCAGAAAATGGAACTGGTTATCACCACCAAGTTCTGATTCTCTATCAGGGATTTTTTTTCTTTAAGCACCTCCATGCAAACATTTCAGGGAAGAAAGGTATCATTTTCAAAATAAGACATGCCAGTTTTGAACCCAAGTTATCTTTTCTATAATCAACCCTGATTAATTGAGGTAGCTTTATCAAATTATCATTTCCCTCATCAGGAAATGGAGACAAAAATGTGACTCTGAGGGTCAGGGAGATGACTCCATCAGTCCAGTGTCTGCTTATAAACGTAAGAGCCCACATAAAAGCTGAGCAGAGTGGTTTGTGCCTGTAATCCTAGCAAGTAAGGCAGAGAAGGGAACATCTCAGTGAGCTCCAGGGTTAGTGTGGAATCCTGCTTTAATAAGTGAGATGAATAGTGGTTGAGGAAGACACTTGATACAGAGTTCTGAACTCTCCGTGCACTCTACTTTGCATATGCATACTTGTGCAAACATGAACACATACACACATACTATGCTACTCATATACATACGTAAATGTTACCGTGAAAGTTACACAATACATACATACATACACACACACACACACACACACACACACACACACACATATATATATATGTACAAAATACTTAGTGTATGGCAGGTACTTAATTCTTGAAACTGACTTAGTATTGATTATCTTGGGGCTTAATAAATAAGATAACAGAAAAGTCACTTGCTAAGGTTGTCTGATTAGTTATACAACCCTGACTAAACTCTGACCAGTCTCTCTCATACACGTATCCATGAGCTTTTCCCTTAGGGGGCCCAGGATAACTGATTTTCACAGCACCCATCCTGAGTCAGCAGGAAACACAGATTCCCACTAGCCAACTTTCTGATGGCGAGGTAAGTATGGCACATTAGGAGTATTTCTGTCCAAAGCAAATACTAAAACACGACACTTCCAAGAACAAACTTCAGCCGCCTAAAACACAGACACAGAATAATTCCAGAGCCTACAATGCCTACATTCAGAGCCAGTATGCTCCCCCCCCCCCACATCTGAACTTATTAGAAGCATTAACCTTAGAGACTTGGAACCCTGTCAGTTCTATAAACACTGGCCAGGCAGCATAATGTAAGGACATTTTCCTTGTTGTCATTTCAGTTTCCACTTAAGTCTTGGAAATAGTGTTGAATTTGAGCCATACTATATGTGGGCTGCCACCGGGCTGCGGATTTCGAGTCTGTGCTGTGATATTGAGCCCCTGTAGTGTAAATATTTGTCAAAGAAAGATTAACTGGTGAGGCGATGTATTCAGAATGATTGCACCTTTCATTAACCCTGTAAGGAAGCCGTCTGGAAAGACACACACTTCCCTAAATCACAGTTTATAATCAGCCACTGAATTTCTAGTTATCTTTTCAAGCACATAGATGGGTGCTTTTCGCCAATGTATACATACCCCTTTTCCACTCTTTCCTTGTTTATTTCAGGGTTATGTTTTGTCCTTAGCAGCCTGAAAGTTGCTCTGATTTTTCACATGTAGGTGGATTTGGAAACATACTATATCTCATGCATTTATGACCTGCACTTTTCTCAGAAATAATAAATAGCACTACTGGAAAAGTGATTAGGGAATTAATTCCTTGGAACCATAGTATCTTAATGCAATGGTACATAGAATAAATGAATAGCTTATTTACAGTTCCTTGTTTGGGTTAAACATAAGGCCATTTGCTTCAGAGTACTTTCCTGAAGAGGGTCATTTGCTTGTTCAACCCCGCCCCCCATGTGCTCTTGAAGTTGGTGCAGTATCATACTGTGAGCTACTTCCAAAATATAACCTTAACCAAAGTCCAATTTACAAATCACACCCAAAGGCTTGGTGCTTGGCTTTATGATCACCTAAACCTGCTTTGCAGAAGACCATGAACTGCAACGAATCAGATTATTACAACTCTGCTCAGGAATCACCTTGCTGAGGATGAGAGAAACCCAGGGGCTGGAAGGCTGAACTCAATGATGCACTAGACAGCATACTTTTTGGGGGGGAAATAGTAAGGCTGCACGGGCTATAGGGTAGGGCCAGAAGCTTAGATTCTCTGGCTGGGATTTGGGAGGCCAGAGAAACCCCAGAGGATGGAGGGGCAGAACCTCCAAGCTGATGCAGAAGTGGTTGCATGGGAGTCTTTCAGGAAAGCAGCAGGGAGGCTGGGTGAGGCTTCTTTTTCTGGGTACACAGCCACATTTCGACAAATCATTGTGACATTAGAACCCTAGAGTGCATACAGTGAGAAGATTGATAGCCTTGGACTGAGAGTTCCCATTCCAGAACTTTCTCCGTGGGCAATCAAGACTCTATTATGAAATTTAACACGATAACGCAGTTTCACAGAATCACCGGCAACATTCTCCACTGATACAGGGGAAGATATTGGAAACTTGAGTTAGGCTTATTTTATTCAGATCAGGACAAAAGTCCTACCGAGACTTGACATTTCTTCAGAAAGACTTCCAGCGACAGAACTTTCCCCAGAAGTCCCATCAATCATGACCTTCATCAGCTACACCGATGAGACTCTGTTCTCTGCTGCTGGCAGCCACAAGCCACGGAATTTTAGGCCCTGAACTTGACAAGAGGGAACTGGTAACTTTGATTCAGTTTCAACACACGCACTCCCTTGGATCCCTTAAAGATCAAGGGCGGAGGGTCTCCCACTGGGAAGTGCTGAATCCGAAACCGGCATTACAATCAGCTCTCTCTTGAGTATTAAGACCTGAGCCCCCCAAGGAAGCTGTTTGCTGCAAAGCTTATTGTGCTATTCCACCCCCAGAGCTGCGTTTACTGGCCTCTCGGGACTGACCCTCCTGGATCACAGCTAAGATATTAGGCACTGGGCTACCAAGGGGTCCTGGTGTCAAGTCCTCTCAGGTCTTCTAGCGGCCAAGGCCAGGCCCCATTGAATGAGCAGATACTGCTGCTACCTGGAACTGTGACTAGTCTCCGGTAGGGTGAACGGTGCTGAGCCCTGACCCTGCAGGGAAGATACTCAGGGTGATGCTCCCGCAGTCTTACTTACCTTGCCACGCGAGTCCGACGCGCTCGGGGACCCCCAGCTCCGGAAGCTCAAGCGCTGCGGTGCTTCCTCGGCGGCTCTGGGCACGGGGCGCGGGCTCCGGGCGCGCGCTCCCCAGGTCCGGCTCGGCGGAGCAGCCCGACTGCGGCTGAGTCAGCGCCCGGCGGCGGCGCGGTGAGCCCCGGGCAGCCGCCGCCGAGAGCGGCTGTGAGCAGAGCTGAGGCCGGCCGCCCTGGCATTTTAAAGGCGAGGCTTGGACGCTGTTCAAGCGGAAAACGCTGGGAGAAACTTCGGCCCCCCATGCAGCGCTGCACGCTCGGGGCGTGCTACCAGGCTCTGCAAAAGTATCTCTCTGTAAGGCAAAAAAAAAAAGCAAAAACCAGACCCCCAAACCACGAAGCTTCTCTCAGAGGATTCCTCGGTACCGACACAGACATGTCCATTAAAGTTAGGGAGCAGACCTGGAGGCCAGTTTGGAAAGTCTGCTGGATGCAATTAGGCAAGAAAAAGAAGAAGAAGAAAAAAAGAAGGAAATGAAGTGTAAGTTACTGAACCTGAGTTTTAGTGTGTGTGATGGGTTTAAGCTGGGAACCAGGAGGAAAAACAATCGCGATTTGCAATGATTGTTAGAAAATCCTAAAATAAAGACATCAAGCAGTTACATAGTAGTTCCCCACAATGAGCTGGTACGTAGGTCATGATATAAACAGGGCATGCTCACAGTGTTACTGTCAGTAATATGGTAGAAAAATCCTCTTCTCACTTAGAGAACAAACATAAATATCTGGAAATATCTTGTTCGGGGACCATGCTTGTTGAGGATCATGAAGGGAAAGCTACTTCCTTCTGGTAAGAATGGAATCTACACCCGGCTTTGGGTGGAGATGGAAAGACTGTGCCAACCCGTCACCTAGTAGAGACCACCGCTTAAGGCGAAAGCGAGTTCACCTTAAGATATGCTAAGGAAATGGGAGGAATAATTATCCCTTTAAGCTTTTCCTTTCCAGAGAGCCTTCCTCTGGAATTTTTCAGGGGGTCACAGCTAAGGGCTGCTTTTCTGAGTTCTAACCATTTCCACCATTTCTTCTTTCTGTCTCTTTCAATCGGATACTGGCCAAAGCTGGAGTGTGCTTTAACCCCTTGCTCTGTGGCGGCTTGTCCACCATTTGGTCTCTTACAAGGAGCATTGCTTGCTTTCTTCTTCTTCTGCATTTTCCTCCTCCAAAGCAGCTGTTGGCATTCATAGCTACTTGCCCTGGGGTTTTTCTTGTACATTCAAATGAAATTGTCCTCAAGCTTCCTTTCAAGTGTTTAAAAAATTCTTTTATTAGTGGTACTAAGAACTCTAAGAGAGAGACCAGATACCCCTCGTCACATTATCAGGGATAATACACCATACATAATACAGGAACATACACCATACTGGGGACCCTTCTATTTTTGATTGGAGGAACAGAAGACTTTGACTGTCTTAAGACTCAAGCCTCATTCGGGGACAAGCAAAAGAAACCCTGTCAGCCAATCAGCCCCCCGTGTTTGCATTTCCAACATAATCATTGACAAATTCCAAACAGAATTTTCTTTGTAAATTGATATGGTGATTTTGAGGTTCAGTTGGGAAAAGGAAACAATCAACACAATGGGGACAAAGAAGAAGATGGGAACGCAGTCCTGTTGGCTATTACCTCAAAGTGGTGTGTGTGTTCCTGCTTCAGGAGTGCTTTACAGGCGTTAGTGCATTTCACTCCTTGCTACTAGTCTATGAGGCAGATAATAGCATCGCTGCCATTCACAGATAAGCAAGGGAAGTAGGTATCCAAGGTCGAACAGGTAGAAAAGAAGAGTCGGGGATTTGATGCCTGTAGAGTCTATGCATCTGTGTCACATTCCTCCATTCCACCACAGATCCACAGTGATTACAGTGGTGTGGCACGGCTCAGGAGGTTCACCCCTCGAGCAAGACCCACTGCTCCAAGTTTAAGTGCAGGAAAAAAAAAATTCAGGTTGAAGATGGTACTGCAGTGAGTGCAAAAAAAAAAAAAGTGCTATAAAAGTAAATTATATTGGAATGACTGTAGTGATAACCAGGAGGTGGGAATATGCTTTCTGTGTAGTTTCTTAGACCAGAACAGATTACAGAACACTCAAATGCTGAATGTAGAATTGTGAAGCCAAGAAATAAATATACAGGTATTTGCCATACACTTGGGATTCTGACAGCCTTTCTAACACATCATAAAACCATAAAGAAAGATGCTGATAGATATAAGCATTAAAAAATTCAAGTGATATTGCTATAAAAAGTCATACTAAACAGAACGGAAGAGTAAATAAGCTGGAAAATATTTACTGTACATGTGGCAGGGGTTGCTTAATTTAATTTTAAAAGCAAACCACTGGTTAATTTTGATTTTCAGACTGTAATTCATTTATTTTTATCTTGTTTTCTTCAAGATCTCACTGGGTGATCTAGGCTGGCTTGGAACTTGCTGACTTCCTGAGAGGCTGTCCTTGAAATCATGATCCTCCTGCTGCAGCCCCCAGCTTGCTAGGATTACAGGAACGAGTCACCACTGGGTCCTCAAGTTACTTTTTAGTGCAAATAGTTTCACTCACTGTGTATCCAAGAGTCCAATTTAAGTGGTGGTCCTATATCTTCTCTGATAGCCTAATAGCGCAACACTTTAACACAATTTACAAAGGGCATAAAATCGTTATACAAAGAGAATATTAACTCCCCAAAACAAGGAGTAGAAGAGAGCTGGAGACAATTTCCGACAGAAAAACTCAAATAACAACACAAATTTCTCTGCTGATGCAATAAATACAAATAGGAAAATATGTTTTTTTAAGTAAAGCTGGAAATATTTAAAATATTGACAGCATCCAGTGCTAATAAAGGGTATAGATAAAGAAACCCACACTTATGAGAACGTAAACTAGTACAGTATTTCTAGAAAGTGGTTTGTGAACAAATGCCAAATTGAGCACTAATTGTTCATAACAGTTAACCAAGCAAACACATTTTCAGGTGTTTTCCTAAGGAAATTATTTGATTGGCCTGGAGACATAGTTCAGTGATTAAGAACATTTGCTGCTCTTGAAACAAACGCCCTGGTTCCCAGCACCCCTATGGTGGCCAGAACTGTCAACTGCTTCAGGTCCAGGGCATCTGATGCTCTTTTCCGACCTCTGTGGGCACTTCATGCACATGGCAAAACACTCATATACATAAAATATAAATAAATTAATTAAAAGAAGAAATCATTGACCTCTGGATAAAATACATACCACAAATGCTCATTTTCTCACAAAAATAATTTGTAATAGTGAAAAACTGGACACAATCTAAATGCCCAGATACAAGACGTAGTTAAGAGAATTAAATGATAGAATGTATTGATACTTTAAAGCCATATAATATGATTTTAAGCACCTTCTGGACACTTGTTCATCAAAGCAAAATTAAGAATCCTTCAGTGAATAGGAAGATGCAGATAGCTCCTCCATTTCTAAGAAAGTAGGAAGGAAAGTTAAGCTGTCTTTGTCAACTATAAGGCTCCTCCCTCCACTCCTTGTCTCTCCTTCTGCATACCATCAGTCAATCCCTTTCATAGTTTCACACAGACTTTTATTCTTCTCCAATTTATAAAAATGGGAAACTTCCAAAGCTCTGTGTAATACAACTTCAGTCACCTTAAAAAAATTAATTCTGTTGGCTCTCACTTCAAAGATTTCTTGATTAGGGCTTTGGAAACTCAGGTTGGAGTGTATAGATGAGTAGAGCACTAGTTAGGATAAGTTGCATGTTGAACAAACAGCCCCTACTTCTCAGCATCTGGAAACAATCACCCACCATGATACATGCTGCATGTCCATGATGGTTTGGGTGTGGATTGGCTTCATGTGGGTTACATCCCACCGGAATCCAAGATGGAGAAGCAATTTATATCTTTATTGTTTTGGTTGAATGAGAGACCAAGGAAAGGATGTGGTCAACTACGGCCTGGCTCATAAAGTTGTTACTAGAGCAACTCACTTTGGCGAGCAAGGAAATTATCAGCTTCCCAGAACAGCAATACATCCTACCACATCCAAGACACTAGGGCCAAGGGTTTGGGCTTGTAATAGCCAATGACATTGACCACCACAACTATTGAAGGGACATGGCTACCACTTTAAAGAAGTAGAGGACTTGGGTGGGGAATAGCTTTTTTAGTAAATTGCTTGCTGTATAAGTATGAATTCCTGAGCTCTAGTTTTTACATAAAATGCTGGGCATGGCTGTCTGCTTCTGTAATCCCAGCACTGGGGAGGGGGAAATAGGAGGATTCCTGGAGCTTGCTGGCAAGTCATTCTAGCTAAATAAGCAAACTTCAAATTCAGTGAGAAACTCTGTCTCAAAAAAATAAGGTGAAAAACAATAAAGGAGGAAACTAACATTTACATCTGGTATTTATGTGACCTGCTCATACATGCCCATACATGCATAGAGTGAGAGCAAGAGAAAAAGAGAGAAGAGTAACAAGAAAATGAAGAAGAAGAGGAAGAGGAAGAAGAAGAAGAAGAAGAAGAAGAAGAAGAAGAAGAAGAAGAAGAAGAAGAAG